GTATCATTATTTTTATATTTTTTAAACGTAAACATGCTTATTATGGTTAAAAAAGCGTTATTGATGGTTTTGCAAAAGTCTTTATAATAACTATAATCTTTGCTTACAGTAAATGCGGGTTCCAATTCAAAATATTCGCGATAGCCTTTGCTAAAATATTGACTTTTTTTATTTTCGTAATCTTTAATTATAAACACATAATACAAATCTATCATTTCATTTTCAGATAAATGCAATTCAACATCCCATTTAATTAAATGTTCTTTTATTAAAATGAGCCATGTTTCATAAGTATCACGCGTATGATTAAACTGATTGTACAACGGTTGAAACGTTGATATTATTTTTTCTAAAGATTGTTCTACTTGAACGTTCGTCATTGCGAATTGAATGATAAAAAGAATTTTTTTAAATTTATGTTGCGCTATTTATACTTTTTTTTTTCTTATACGTCACAATTTTTTTCAAAAAAATAAAAAAAAAAAAGAGTAGGTTTTTTTTAAAAAATAAAAATTAATATTTTCTTTTTAAATTCATCGGTTTTTGTTTTACAATTACAAAAAAAAAACATTATTATAATTTTTTTTTTTATTCATCATCTTCATTTTTAACATTTGTTTTTTCTTTTTTATATTCTAATGTCTCTTTAGCAGCTAAATCTTTGCCAACTTCTTTTATATTATACGTTCGTTTTACACCACTTTTTTTTAACGTTGCAATAACAGGTTCTAGAGAAGCCAAACGGTCTTGCTCGAGAACATACATATCTTCATCGTCTTTTAGTTGTCTCACTGTTGTGCAATTAGCGATTTGACTATAACGAATCATTTTGTTTTTTTGTTGCGCATATTTATAACCTTCGTTTTGATATTTGTCTAACGTAGGTAACAGTGATTCAAAAAATTTCTTTGTCAATTTTGGAACATCTGATGAGATGATGACTTGAAACGTATATTCAGAATCTTTTTTAGTTGCAAAACTTGTGTCATCTTTATTAAGTTTTATTTCGGCTCTATAAAAAAATATCCATTTTTTATTAGCGTGATCTGAACATTTTGTTCGCCAGTACCAAGGAAGTAATATACTTTGTTCTTCCATTTTTGTAGAATATACTAATTCTCTTTTACCGAAATTAAATTGAGCTACTGGAGATACAAAAAGTTTGCTATATTGAGATTCCTTAATTTCCTCTTTTTTTAAGTCTATACTCCATAATGTAGCTGCTGCCAATTCTGGGAATTTGACATATTGCACAATTTCTGTACAATAACCAACAGTAAACTCTGTTTCCATTTTTGTTTTGGTATTGGAAGAAAAAAGAAAAAAAAAAATTTTTAATGTTTATATAACATTTTTTTTTAAAAAAAACTAGAAAAAACCGGTATAAGTCATTATAATTTAAATCAATAGAATTTAAAAATAGATTGAACTTTGATCAAGTAATCAAACGATTTCTTTGAACTTTGATCTTTCGTTCATACATTTAATCTGCTATGACGTCATTTATTAATATAAATAGATGAAAAAAATTAGAGTTGACACAAATTCAACATTTTGCATTATTTTTTTTATATTATTATAAAAAAATGAGTTCTGAAAGAAATATTGTTATATATAATGATAATAATAATGAAGATAAAAAAGGAGAAAGCGAATTTGTAGTCAAAGACATATTTGTAGATTCTGAGAATGAAACAGAAAGCGAAAATGAAGAAAAGAAACCTAAAGAAAACGAGAACAAATTGAAAAATTTTACGGTGAGAGAAAGATTTTTATTTAAACAATATAGGAAAGCTAAAAATGAATGCGAACATTATCGAAAAATTATCAAGTTAATGAGAAATGATGTTAGAGAATGCGAAACTTGCAAAATGTTAATCTATAGTTTATCATTTAAATGTCCTCATTGTATGAACATTTTTTGTGGTAAATGTTTCGCGAAACATACTTCAAATACAAAGAAAAAACAAAAAATGAGTGATCTTGAAAATTTGAGCAAAGAAAATGAGGAATTTATTCCTATTAAATATTATTGTAAACATTGAAAATGAAATAAATGTTTTTTTTGTATTTGACTTTTTTTATTTTGTATTAAACTTTTATTTTATTTTTTTTGAAATTTAATCATTTTTTTTGATAATAATAATTATTATAATTTTTTTTATGTTTATGGAAAAAAAAATGAATGAATTAAATAAAAATGATATTGAAAAATATTTAAAAAGTACTTTGGCGTATAGAATTAAATTTGTTGGTTTTGAATCAAAATACGTAATCGATTTTATGGAATTGGATCAAGATGCTATTAAAATTCAACAAGTCATCAATTGGTTAAGTAATCAAAAAGACATTGAGGAAGAATTAAATATGTCTAAGAAAATATTGGACATGTTTCATAATAAAATTTTACATTATGAAATTATTTTAGAGCAAATAGAAAGTGTAAAAAAATGCAGTTATTGTAACATTTTTTATACGAACGATTATTTTCCTAAATCTAAAAATAATTTTTTTTGTAAAGAATGTTTAAAAATGTGATAAAAAATAAAAAAAAAAATATTTTTTTAATAAAATATTGTTTATTTTTTTGTTGTGTAGAAATTTTTTTAATATTTTTTAGATACTAAAAAAAATGAGTTCTTATATAAATAGTTATATACAAATTCATAGTTTGGTAAAAGAATTTCAATCCGTATTCAAAATGGATGGTAATGTTGAAAACATTTTGTTTATATTTGGTTACTTGGAAGGAGAATGGAAAGAATATTTTGATTTAATAAAAGAAGACGTGCAAGGTATAGAATTTATTGAAGCTGTTATTACGGAATGCGATAGAATTCAAAGTCTTTATAATTTTATGGGTAAAGAATTTTACGAATGGACATTGCAATTATTTGCTCGCGGTTTGAAATTTGAGGATAAAATATTAAAAGATTTAATGGATCAAAATCAAAAATGGTATTCCATGTTTGAAAGACTTGATGATTTAATGAACAAAATATATAAAAACGCTTTTTTTGCAGAATTTAAAATTGAAATGAATAATGCTTTTTTTAATAAAAGATTGACTTTTTAGTTGAAAAAAAAAATTTGTTTTTAATTCTTTTTTTTTATTATTATTTTTATTGTAAATTTTTTTAATTTAATTTAAAATGATTGTTTTTATATTTTTTTAAAAAAGTTAATTTTTGTTTTTTTAGAATAAATATTAATAATGGAATTGCATAAATTACGTAAAAATTGTTCTTATTGCATGCATGAATTTGAAGATACTTGTATTTGTGGAGATAAAGATCCTGGAGAACCTTTTATTCACTACAGTCAAGTAAAATCAATTTATCATTTTTTTCAATGCGATTTACATCCAGAAAAAGATTTAAAAAATTATCAAAGAGATTTTGACTTTTTTATAGAGGAAATAAAAAAAGCAATGACACAAAGTCATAATACGAATATGGAACATATTTTGTTTATTACACAGCATAGGAGAACTGTTTTTGAATTATCAGAACAAGCAAATTTGAGTTGTGAAAGATTAACATTAAAATTAGAGGAAGCCAAGAAATATTTTTGCGTTAATTTTGATGATGATCTAAAAATAATAAAAAATTTACAAAATCAAACTGTTATTTTAAAAATGAGAAAAAAGATGAGTGAAATTTTACAAGATTTATTTTTTTCCTTGTATTAAATAAAAAATATTTTTTTTTAGTTATAACAAAAAAAAAAACAATGGAAGATTCAAAAATAGAAGATGGAGATCAGAAATTAGCAGATTTAAAACTAGAAGATGTGAAATTAGAAGAAAATCATTATAAAAATTCATCATTATATGAAGCTATTAAAAGTATTAAATGTGAAAATGAATGCATTAAAAATAGGTTTAGTTTATTTATGCATCGATGGAACAAATTTTCTTATTATGTGCCTGTGTTTACACTAAAAGATATTCACAAGAGATTGTTAGCTATTGCTAAATATACTAAAGATTGGTTACATATTTACGATAAAGATTGGTTATATTTTATTACAATAGAAAAAGACTGGTTACCGATTAGTGACGCTCTTATTATTGTGGAAGAGTTAAAAAAGAAATTTCCTGATTATTATAACGAACCTTTTAAAGATTTTTTTAGTTATTGGCAATCGGGAGATATATATGAATGGTTAGTAGAAAAAGAAATACCAACATCATCAGAATATCGTTCTACTTATCGCTCGGATTGGTTAGAAGAAGTAAATCGAAAATTGAAAGAAAATGAATAATGCTATAGTACAAAGACCATTAGATCAAATATTAGAAGAACCAGAAATATTATTTGCAGAGTTAACATTTAATTTGTTTATGGATCGTTGTTTGGATTTTTATCATGTTCAACCTTTTACATTGAATGAATTAATGGATAGAGTCGTATTTGTGGATAAAACTTTATTATTTTGGAAACGAGTATGTCGTGAAAAGTGTTATGATTATAATTGGGATTGTTTTTTTAAAGAAAAATTAAAAGACATACCTTTAATTTTTATTTTGGTTGTTTTGAAAGTAATTAAATTAGAAATTGATTATATTTTTGAAGATGAAAATGTAAATTCTTTTTTAAGTAATGCTGATTTTAAAATATTTTATAATCAATTTTATAAATGTTTTAGACGTACGTTTTTTTTAGAAATTTCAAAAAGAATGGACAAGGTTGTTGAATATTTTTATTAATTTGTTATTATTTTTTTTTAGAATGAATATAAATCTTTGTAAAACTAATGAGGAAATTATTAAAAACAATTTAGATTTGAATTCTGATGAAATTCGACAAATGCTTTTAGAAATAGATGAAAATATAAAACGTCACGAGACAAAAATAAAATTTGAACTTTTTGTTATAACCAACGTGATATTTTTTAGTAAATATGTAATCATGTATTTATTCTCAGAATGATAAAAAAAATTCAATATTTTTTTAATTTCTATTTTTATTTTTAAAGACTTTTTTACCAAACAAAAAATGGAAACATCTGCACACGAAGTTTTGGTATTTAAATGGTTCGATCGAGGATACAATTTTTTTATTACAGGAGGAGCAGGATGTGGTAAAAGTTATATGTTAAACAAATTAGCAACAAGTGAACAACTTTATAAAAAAATTGAAATTACAGCTAGTACTGGTACAGCTGCACATCTTATCGGTGGCATGACTCTTCACAGTTTTGCTGGAATCGGTGTGGGTAGAAATAAATGCGAATTTTATTTAAAGCATATGAAACCAGAGGTAAGAGAAAGATGGTTAAACACAGACGTTTTAATTATTGACGAAATATCAATGATCAATGCAAAAACATTCGATTTATTGCATGATTTAGCGTGCAAAATACGATTCGAAAACGAAGAACTTTTTGGTGGCATACAATTGATTGTCTGCGGAGATATGTTACAATTAAAACCTGTCGAAGGTGATTATATATTTAAATCTGAAATTTGGAAAAAATACATGCAACGTTCTGTAGTATTGACAAAATGTTTTCGTCAAAAAGAAGATCCTCTGTTTTTTAATGCTTTAAATGAAATTCGATTGGGAAAAGTAAGCGATGCATCTATAGAATATTTAACAAAAAGACATTTTACAAATGATCAACTCATTGACAAAAGTTATCCTAGATTATTTTTCTTAAGAGGAAACGTTTTTAAATATAACGAATTCAAAATGTCTGAGTTAAAAGGTAAAGCTACATGTTTCAAAGCTAAAGATAAAATTTTAGATAATAGCATAACTGTAAATTCGTTTCAAATTCCAACCGAAGTGACAGTCAAATTGGGAGCTGTTGTCATGTTATTAAAAAATATCAACGTTGAACAAAAAATGATAGAAAAATACTCCCAAGCTCAAATTAAACAATGGTTTTTATTTGAAAACGATTTAGTTAACTGGGAGCATTTAGCAATGGCATTACATTTATCCGAAGAAGAAAAAAATAAAATAAGAAACTGTGCTACATCAAATGTATGCGAAAACTGTTTTCACGCAACCAGAACATTAAAGACTTTAAATCTTTATTTTGAAAAAAATAATAGAGACATATTTATGGATATTTTTTGGTTTGTTCATTGTTTAGAAAAAAAAGAAATTGTTTAAGAAGATGCCGATATGCTCATTACGCATTTTTCTAAATTTTTAATAGAATATTTTAATTATTTGTGATTTTTTTTTAATTAAAATATATTTTTTTTTATAGAAAAAAATTGTTTATTTTCTTTGTCTTTTTTTTCTTATGAAAATGATTAATAATTATTCTATATGACAATTTTTTTTAACTTTTTTTTTACTTTTTTTAGATTATTAATAAAAAAAATGGATAGGTCACTTGACGGAATATACATGGATAGGTCAATGTATTTACTTGACGGAATATACATAGTATTTAGGCGACATTCAGAATTTTATAAAGAATTTAGCAAGATCTATCCAGATGTAACAGATTTATTGAAACAACGAAAAAAAGTAATCAACCTTCATCAAAAACTATTAATTAAAATACCAACTTTATTTGAAATAGTCAAAAGAAATTTAGCAATTACAAAAACAATGGATATGGCTAATGAAACAATTAAAAATATTGCACCCTATTTTAGTAATTTATATTTACAAGACATCTATGTTAGACGTTTTGATTATTTTTATAATAATTGTTTTGAAACATATATTCGAAATAAAAATACTTATTATATTAAAATGCAACAGGATTTATTATCTACGTTTAATATACTTTTAGATGTGTTAGTAGATTATGTAAAACATACACTTAACATTCGCTTAACAGAATTGAAACCCTTTTTTTTGATTTATTCTAATCTTTTAAAATGGATGTTAGATCAATGTGAATTTGTTGAAAGTAATTTGTTTTTACCACCTTTAATACTTCTTTCTAGCCAATTTATAAAAATTTAAAAATGTCACCGCCTCAAGAAGAAGATGAAGACATAACTATGAATAGAAGCGAATCAGAATCAGATTCAGAATATAATGCAAAAAAGAAAAAAAGAACAAGACGTATGAAAAAACAAAAAGTAAAACGAGTTGAAATTATACAAATATGTAGAGGAAATTGTAATTATTATTGTAACTGTGTAAAAATAAAAATAAAAAGTAGATTATAAAAAATGCAGTCTTTTTTTTTATTTTTTTTTAGTTCATTTTTTTTGTAAAAAAATATGTTCTTTATCTTATCATATTTTTTTATATTTTTTTTAGATTAAAAATTAAAAAAAAATGGCAAGCAACTTACAAAGTTGTTGTTTTTGTGAAAAGGACTTCACAATAAATGATTTATTAAAGCATCAAGTGCATTGCAGTGCATTGTTTATTCAAGAAGAAGAAAGAAAAACAAATAAAAATTTTATTTTGATTAATGATAATGAAATGGAAGAAGTTTTTTCTGAATGTGATTGCGGTGGTCCTCATCCTCATCGAAAATGTGCTTTGTGCAACGAATCTTTTGTTACAAAGAGCCTTTTTAATGAACATTATGCGACGTGTTCTACTCAAAAGATATCAAAGTTAGAAGAGGATATAAAGAAAATAGAGAATTATGTGGATAGTAAAATGAAAAATTTTCACTCGTTACAAGAAAGTATGAATTATCTAAACACAGCAGTCAATTTAACAATTAAAGAAGGTTCAAAGGTGGATAAAAAAATTGAAAATTTGGAAACAAGAATGAGTATTTTACAAATAGTTTACAAACAACCTGATGTACTTTTTTCTAGCTATAAAGATAAATTAAGAAGCATTGTGGGATCGTTTAAGCACGAATTAAAACAAAAGAAAAATGAATGCGATCAACATTATGATGTTCCTACGCGAAAAAAACTTTTCATTTGTTTAGATAATATGACACTACGATTGCAATCGAATGAACCGTATTATAGTAAACCCTGTTTTACAGAAGAAGGTTATTGTTTTCGCGTGAAAATATTTGGGTATCAAAAACCCGAAACCTTGGCTATTTATGTTCAGATTTTAAAATCTGAACATGATCACATGTTAACCTGGCCAATGAAGAATCATGTTTATTTTTTTATCAAAAATAATCATCATGAAATGATGCTAAGCTTTCCAACATCGCGACATATCGAAAGTTTTGATAGACCTGTTTATGAAGCAAATATTACGTGTGGTTATGATAACTTTATTAAACACGATCAACTCAAAAATTATATAATCAATGACAAACTTTGGATTCAAGTTTATTTTACTTGATGTATTTTTTTTATATTAATAAAAAAATAATTGAATTTTAATAGTTTTTTTTTAATGTTTCATAAATAATTATTTTTTTTTAATATAATAAAATGTGTTATATTAGCTATAAACATTTTTTATTTTTTTTAGGTAATTAAAAAAAAATGGAAGACTTAATTTTGTTATCAAATGAATTAGTCTATGCTAATGTTAGATCGTTAAAATATTGTTTGGCAATTCCGTATGGTTCCGCAGAAAAAATAAACAATGCTTTAGATTTAATAAACTATATAAGAATGTATTCTCTGAAAATTGATGGAATAGAATATACTACAATGGAAGAGAAATTGGGTTACTTTAAGTATTGTTTAAATTTAATTGGTAGAAAAGATTTGTATGCAAAATATCAAGACTTGCATTACGATGAGAAAAAAGCTTGTTTTTATAAAAGTATAATACCTACTATTACTGAAAGGATTTTGAATGAAGCTCCGCCTAGTTACGAAGAAGCATGCCAAGAAAACAAGATACCGACCCAAGGAAAATATTAATAAAAAAAAATATTTGTATTATTTTCATTTTTATTTTTTACAATAAATATTGTTTCACTGCATAAAAAACATTTTGTATTTTATCACAGCAATGTTCTTTATCTTTATTCAAATAAAACGGAGACTGTTCTATAATAATAAGATATGCTAATTTCTTTATCATTTCCTTAATTAATTTAACGCGAACGTATTCTTTTTGTTCAAAATAGTTTATAATAATAAAATAACAATACAAGTTTTGTAAAACTTGTATCGATTGCCTAATAAGTGTTTCTAGTATTTCGCTATCTTCTGGATAAATATCTTCAGGATCTTCTATATATTTACACGCTAAATTGTTCATTAAAAAACAAACTTGTTGTAAAAATAAGCCATTTTTATTAATAATAACATTTTAATTAATAATTTTTATTAATAAACTCTTTTTCTTCTAACGAATCATATGAATAATCTTTTTTTATATTATCAACATTAAATCCTTTCTTATCTTTGCGAATGCTATCTAATAATAAACAATTGTACGATTTCTCTTCTATACGTTTTTTTAATTGTTCTCCGTAATCAATTAAAGAATCTATATTTTTATTATACTCTAACTTTGTTAAACTCATTTTGTATTTTTTTTTTTAAATAAATAAAATATTTTTTTTTTTCAATTTATTACAAAAAAATTAATATCAAAAAATTAACTATATACAATATTTAAAAAAATATATATAAAAAAATTATTTACAAAGTTATATTAAAAAAAATAAAAAAAAAACCCAATGGATATCAATCTTGATATTCCATTGGATGATTAGCCCATTGTTGTCTTTTAAAGGCTATTTTTTCTTGCATGGCTTCCCTGATTGCCTCGATTGTATTAGTAGTGCATATGCAACAACCTGTGCACACTCCTAGCGATCCGCAACGATAATGACAACAAGGTCTTAGCGGTCGTAACGGAGCAAAGCACAGGCAGCAGCCTAAGCAGACTGATTCGATTGATGGTACTACAAAAAAAATTATTTATAATTTATATATACAATATAAAATGAATAAATAAATAACAAATAAAACAAAATAAATAAATATTAAATTATTACAAACTACAGGTATATTCCGTTCATAATTATTTGGCGGCACATCTACTTGCGGTACATCATCATCATCATCATCATCATCATCATCGTCATCTTCATCTTCTACAATCTAAAAAAAATATTATATAAATAAAAAAATAATATAAACAAAAAAAAATATAAATATAAAAAAAAACAACAACTATAATTACTGCTTCTGGTGGTGGAGCAACGGGTCTAAAAAACAAATTTTGAATTCTTTCTCTGACTTCTCTTCGTTCTCTTATTTTTCGCCTCTCCTCTTCAGGGAGGTCGTCTTCAGGATTATAAGGTTCTACAATCTAAAAAAACAAAAAAAATAAATATAATATAATATAAAATAAAAATAAAAAAATATAATATAAAATAATATAAAATAATATAATTACAGCAATTGGTTTGTTGTTTCCTTTTTGACTATTCATTTTATATAAAAAATCTTTTTATTATTTTTAACTTTTAATTTTTTTGTCTTATGCAAATGATAATATAACCAAAAAAACATTTTATTTCTCTTTTTATTTAATGCGTTACGCGTATTAACTTTATTAAAATAAAAAGAATAAAATAAAAATTTTTAATTTAAATAGAAGGATTATTTATTTTTATTTTTAACCTACCTTTGACGCGCTAAGCTTGCGCAGTACATTTTTTTTTAATCTGTTTTAATCTTGTCTCTTAAACAATAAGATCAGAAGGCGCATGCCGCGCAACCCCTCTTGGGGGTTGCGCATGCGCACCACATGCTATGACGTGGAGACCCATTACCAAGCCCCAATTCCCCATTGGTCACTTTTTTAAACATTTCATTGGTTCATCAAGTCACGTGTTCTATTTTAAATAATACCATTGGACGCAGGACAATTTCCAACAAGCTGGAACGGATGGAAATCTAGGACACGCTCCGTTACGATAAGATTCTTGTTAATACCATCATGTATCATCAAATGAAATTGTTCAGTATATTCCAACCAAGAATACATTTGTTATAAAAAATACGCTAATACGTACTTTTGTGTAAAATTTTCGCGCTGTTATACTTCTCACAAATATACGGCCTCATTCACACATAACACAAATCTGAATAAATATACAAGGATAGGGTAAAATAAGATTATGAACAAAAGTATATGATAAAGAACAAATATTTGATATACTGGTTTTAGAGGCCGTTCATGTCTACAGGTGTGTGCATTAGTATGTGCCGTTTGGTCGTCTAGTATGGTCTCGTTATGTCTTC